CATCTGTATACAGTGTGTGTGTGTGTGTGTTCAAATAAAGTTGTGTATCTCTGCTGCAGATGTATCTTTATTTTCTCTGTTTCTGTGACGTCATCAGGAAGTACTAACACTTTTATCACAGTTTATTTCCTCTAAATATTAGTGTTTAGTCACAGGTCTCCTCTGTCCCTGCATCAAGCTGTTGTTCATGCAGCAACTCTAACCATAACTCTGACCATAACTCTGACCATAACTCTGACCATAACCCTAACCATAACTCTAACCATAACTCTAACCATAACTCTGACCATAACTCTGACCATAACCCTAACCATAACTCTGACCATAACTCTGACCATAACTCTGACCATAACTCTGACCATAACCCTAACCATAACTCTAACATAACTCTAACCATAACTCTGACCATAACTCTGACCATAACCCTAACCATAACTCTGACCATAACTCTGACCATAAACCTAACCATAACTCTAACCATAACTCTGACCATAACTCTGACCATAAACCTAACCATAACTCTGACCATAACCCTAACCATAACTCTAACCATAACTCTGACCATAACTCTGACATAACTCTAACCATAACTCTGACCATAACTCTGACATAACTCTGACCATAACCCTAACCATAACTCTGACCATAACTCTGACCATAACTCTGACCATAACTCTGACCATAACTCTGACCATAACTCTAACCATAACTCTGACCATAACTCTGACCATAACTCTGACCATAACTCTGACCATAACTCTGACCATAACTCTGACCATAACCCTAACCATAACTCTAACCATAACTCTGACCATAACTCTGACATAACTCTGACCATAACCCTAACCATAACTCTGACCATAACCCTAACCATAACTCTAACCATAACTCTGACCATAACTCTGACCATAACTCTGACCATAACTCTAACCATAACTCTGACCATAACCCTAACCATAACTCTAACCATAACTCTGACCATAACTCTGACCATAACTCTAACCATAACTCTGACCATAACTCTGACATAACTCTGACCATAACTCTGACCATAACCCTAACCATAACTCTGACATAACTCTGACCATAACTCTGACATAACTCTGACCATAACTCTAACCATAACCCTGACCATAACTCTAACCATAACCCTGACCATAACTCTGACCATAACTCTGACCATAACTCTAACCATAACCCTGACCATAACTCTGACCATAACCCTGACCATAACTCTGACATAACTCTAACCATAACCCTGACCATAACTCTGACCATAACTCTGACCATAACTCTAACCATAACTCTGACATAACTCTGACCATAACTCTGACCATAACTCTAACCATAACTCTGACCATAACTCTAACCATAACTCTAACCATAACCCTAACCATAACTCTGACATAACTCTGACCATAACTCTGACCATAACTCTAACCATAACCCTGACCATAACTCTGACCATAACTCTGACCATAACTCTAACCATAACCCTGACCATAACTCTGACCATAACTCTGACATAACTCTGACCATAACTCTGACCATAACCCTAACCATAACTCTGACATAACTCTAACCATAACTCTGACATAACTCTGACCATAACTCTGACCATAACTCTGACCATAACTCTAACCATAACCCTGACCATAACTCTGACCATAACTCTGACCATAACTCTAACCATAACTCTAACCATAACTCTGACCATAACTCTAACCATAACTCTGACATAACTCTGACCATAACTCTGACCATAACTCTAACCATAACTCTAACCATAACTCTGACATAACTCTGACCATAACTCTAACCATAACCCTGACCATAACTCAAACTCTGACCATAACTCTGACCATAACCCTAACCATAACTCTGACATAACTCTGACCATAACTCTGACCATAACTCTGACCATAACTCTGACCATAACTCTGACCATAACTCTGACCATAACCTGACCATAACTCTGACCATAACTCTGACCATAACTCTGACTTGACCATAACTCTGACCATAACTAACCATAACCTGACCATAACTCTGACCATAACTCTGACATAACTCTGACCATAACTCTGACCATAACCCTAACCATAACTCTGACATAACTCTAACCATAACTCTGACATAACTCTGACCATAACTCTGACCATAACTCTGACCATAACTCTAACCATAACCTGACATAACTCTGACCATAACTCTGACCATAACTCTGACCATAACTCTAACCATAACTCTGACCATAACTCTGACCATAACTCTGACCATAACTCTGACATAACTCTGACCATAACTCTGACCATAACTCTGACCATAACTCTAACCATAACTCTGACCATACTGACCATAACTCTGACCATAACTCTAACCATAACTCTGACCATAACTCTGACATAACTCTGACCATAACTCTGACCATAACTCTGACCATAACTCTGACATAACTCTGACCATAACTCTGACCATAACTCTGACCATAACTCTGACCATAACTCTGACCATAACTCTAACCATAACTCTGAACCATAACTCTGACCATAACTCTGACCATAACTCTGACCATAACTCTGACCATAACTCTAACCATAACTCTAACCATAACTCTGACCATAACTCTAACCATAACTCTGACCATAACTCTGACCATAACTCTGACCATAACTCTGACCATAACTCTGACCATAACTCTAACCATCTGACATAACTCTAACCATAACTCTAACCATAACTCTGACCATAACTCTGACCATAACTCTGACCATAACTCTAACCATAACTCTGACCATAACTTGACCTAACCATAACTCTGACCATAACTCTGACCATAACTCTGACCATAACCCTAACCATAACTCTGACCATAACTCTGACCATAACTCTAACATAACTCTGACCATAACTCTGACCATAACTCTGACCATAACTCTAACCATAACTCTGACCATAACTCTGACCATAACTCTGACCATAACTCTAACCATAACTCTGACCATAACTCTGACCATAACTCTAACTCTGACCAACTCTAACCATAACTCTAACCATAACTCTGACCATAACTCTGACCATAACTCTGACCATAACTCTGACCATAACTCTGACCATAACTCTAACCATAACCCTGACCATAACTCTGACCATAACTCTGACATAACTCTGACCATAACTCTGACCATAACCCTAACCATAACTCTGACATAACTCTAACCATAACTCTGACATAACTCTGACCATAACTCTGACCATAACTCTGACCATAACTCTAACCATAACCCTGACCATAACTCTGACCATAACTCTGACCATAACTCTAACCATAACTCTAACCATAACTCTGACCATAACTCTAACCATAACTCTGACATAACTCTGACCATAACTCTGACCATAACTCTAACCATAACTCTAACCATAACTCTGACATAACTCTGACCATAACTCTAACCATAACCCTGACCATAACTCTGACCATAACTCTGACCATAACCCTAACCATAACTCTGACATAACTCTGACCATAACTCCGACCATAACTCTGACCATAACTCTGACCATAACTCTAACCATAACTCTAACCATAACTCTGACCATAACTCTGACCATAACTCTAACCATAACTCTAACCATAACTCTAACCATAACTCTGACCATAACTCTAACCATAACTCTGACATAACTCTGACCATAACTCTGACCATAACTCTGACCATAACTCTGACCATAACTCTAACCATAACTCTAACCATAACTCTGACCATAACTCTGACCATAACTCTAACCATAACTCTGACCATAACTCTAACCATAACTCTAACCATAACCCTAACCATAACTCTGACCATAACTCTGACCATAACTCTGACCATAACCCTAACCATAACTCTGACCATAACTCTGACCATAACTCTAACATAACTCTGACCATAACTCTAACCATAACTCTAACCCAACCCTAACCATAACTCTGACCATAACTCTGACCATAACTCTGACCATAACTCTAACCATAACTCTGACCATAACTCTGACCATAACTCTAACCATAACTCTAACCCAACCCTAACCATAACTCTGACCATAACTCTGACCATAACTCTGACCATAACTCTAACCATAACTCTGACCATAACTCTGACCATAACTCTAACCATAACTCTGACCATAACTCTAACCCAACCCTAACCCAACCCTAACCATAACTCTGACCATAACTCTGGTCTAACTCCTCACGGGTCTAGACCTGAGACTAGACCTGGGACTGCAGTCTAGACCCCGGTCCAGTGGATCAATGTGGTAAAGTCCAGGACTGTAAAGTGTTGTGGGCGTGGACTTGAGCTGCTGTCAATCACTGCTAAGCCTGTGTAAGCCCCGCCCCTCCCCTCGTGCGTCTCCTCTGCAGCACGAGCCCCGTCCTTTTCAAAGGTAAGAGAACATTATATTATATTATTAAACAGACTTTACTATATTAGTATGACGTCATGATTACTCCAGAGAACATTATATTATATTATTAAACACTTTACTATATTAGTATGACGTCATGATTACTCCAGAGAACATTATATTATATTATTAAACAGACTTTACTATATTAGTATGACGTCATGATTACTCCAGAGAACATTATATTATATTATTAAACAGACTTTACTATATTAGTATGACGTCATGATTACTCCAGAGAACATTATATTATATTATTAAACAGACTTTACTATATTAGTATGACGTCATGATTGCTCCAGAGAACATTATATTATATTATTAAACAGACTTTACTATATTAGTATGACGTCATGATTACTCCAGAGAACATTATATTATATTATTAAACAGACTTTACTATATTAGTATGACGTCATGATTGCTCCAGAGAACATTATATTATATTATTAAACAGACTTTACTATATTAGTATGACGTCATGATTACTCCAGAGAACATTATATTATATTATTAAACAGACTTTACTATATTAGTATGACGTCATGATTACTCCAGAGAACAGCGCGTGTCTGACGTCACGGGAATCCTTTGATCTCATTAACACATTAACACTGGATAATTACTGCCAGAACTCTAACCCTGACCAGAACTCTAACTCTGACCAGAACTCTAACCCTGATGACCAGAACTCTAACCCTGATGACCAGAACTCTAACCCTGACCAGAACTCTAACCCTGATGACCAGAACTCTAACCCTGATGACCAGAACTCTAACCCTGACCAGAACTCTAACCAGAACTCTAACCCTGACCAGAACTCTAACCAGAACTCTAACCAGAACTCTGACTCTGACCATAAGTAACTCTGACCATAACTCTGACCATAACTCTGACCATAACTCTAACATAACTCTGACTATAACTCTGACATAACTCTGACATAACTCTGACCATAACTCTGACCATAACTCTAACATAACTCTGACTATAACTCTGACCATAACTCTGACATAACTCTGACCATAACTCTGACCATAACTCTGACCATAACTCTAACATAACTCTGACCATAACTCTGACATAACTCTGACCATAACTCTGACCATAACTCTGACCATAACTCTGACCATAACTCTAACATAACTCTGACTATAACTCTAACATAACTCTGACCATAACTCTAACATAACTCTGACCATAACTCTGACCATAACTCTGACCATAACTCTAACATAACTCTGACATAACTCTAACATAACTCTGACCATAACTCTGACCATAACTCTAACATAACTCTGACATAACTCTGACCATAACTCTGACCATAACTCTAACATAACTCTGACTATAACTCTAACATAACTCTGACCATAACTCTAACATAACTCTGACATAACTCTGACCATAACTCTGACCATAACTCTAACATAACTCTGACATAACTCTGACCATAACTCTGACCATAACTCTAACATAACTCTGACATAACTCTGACCATAACTCTAACAAAATAACTAACTCTGACCATAACTCTAACATAACTCTGACCATAATATGAGTTTTAAAAAGAAAGTGCGCTCTCGCCAGCCAAAAGAGAGTGAGCTGTGTGTTTGAACTCATCCACACATTTACAGGAGACAAATCTAAAAAGTGAAGGTTGAGCTCAGGTAAGTGTTTGTTTGTCTTCTAAAAAAAAGCATGCATATTGATTTGGTGTATTTAAAAATGAGTTTATTGGACAAGAGCCAGTGTTGAATAAAGCTAATCATTTTGCAGGAGTTGCTGATGTCAGAGACGTTAGGTTTTGACAGTAAATAATAGTGTCATCTGCATTAACTGGATGTCACAGTTAGAACAGATGCTCGGGAGGTCGTTAATGAAAATAGAAAAGTAAAGGGCCAAAGAGGAACCTTGTGGAACACCTTTGTCTATGCCTGCGGATTTGACTGGCTACCCCCAAAGGACACACACTGTTGCGCGAAGAGTGAAGGTAGGAATTGAACCAAAGTAAAGCAATCTAGATGACCCAGATGTGAAGTTTATCCAAAAGGTAAGTAGTGATCAACCAAATCAAAAGCTTCTGGTCAAATCAGAAATATTGCGCCTGTATAAAACTTTTGTCAAAACTTGAAAATATATCATTTGTTAATTTTAGAAGGGCAGAGGTTTGTGGAGGAAGTGTTTTATGAAGGCCAGATTGTTTTTGGGATAAACTTTCCCCCCTCACCCTCCTCCCCCGCGCACCCCCCGCCTCTCACGCACTCCCGACACGTCTCCCCTCCCTTTTTTAACACAAAAAATAAATATCCCCCCCCATCACATTTACTTCCCCAATCACCCCCCCTACCTAGCCATCACAATCCATCCACCCTCGCCGCGCCTCCCCCCCCCGCTCTCCCTTATCACTCACTCACTCACTACAGCGCAGTACACACACCCACCCGTCCCCTCTTCCCCCTCCACTCACTCACGCTACCGTACAACTACTCGCACTCCCAGCCCCGCCCATACCCCACATTCCATCCCACGGAACGCCCACACCGCATGCGGGATTCCAACAAACATAATTCATTTACCCTCCATCCTCCTACTTAATCCTCCCCCCTCCCCCCCCTCCCCCCCACCGCCCCCCTTGCCATACGCTCCACACGTTCCCCCGACCCCGACCGACCGATCCACCAAATACTGTCCCTCTCTCCTGGAATGTGCCCAAAGTAATTCCACTATATAAATCTGGCGCCGCGTACCGAGAATATCAACAATACCGACCCATTTAATAATCAAATAGTATCGTCAAAGTTTGGAAAAAAAATATTTTTAACCAGTCTCTAGTAGTAGAGTAGAGTATAGTAGTGTTAACGTCTCTGACATCAGAAAGTAGAGTATAGTAGTGTAAAGTAGACTAGTGTAGAGTAGTTTAGTGTAGAGTAGAGTAGGGTAGAGCAGAGTAGTGTAGAGTAGAATAGAGCAGAGTAGAGTAGGGTAGAGTAGAATGTGGTGCAGAGTAGAGTTTGGTGCAGAGTAGAGTAGAGTGTGGTGCAGAGTAGAGTAGAGTATGGTGCAGAGTAGAGTAGAGTGTGGTGCAGAGTAGAGTAGAGTATAGTGTGGTGCAGAGTAGAGTAGAGTGTGGTGCAGAGTAGAGTAGAGTTTGGTGCGGAGTAGAGTAGAGTTTGGTGCAGAGTAGAGTATAGTGCAGAGTAGAGTAGAGTGTGGTGCAGAGTAGAGTAGAGTTTGGTGCGGAGTAGAGTAGAGTTTGGTGCAGAGTAGAGTATAGTGTGGTGCGGAGTAGAGTAGAGTTTGGTGCAGAGTAGAGTATACTACTTCCTTCAGACAAGGTCAGAAATTTGGGGGTAATACTGGACTCAGACCTAAATTTCAATAGCCACATAAAATCAATAACATCAACAGCTTTTTACCATCTGAAGAACATTGCCAAAGTCAGAAATATAGTGTCCAGGGCAGACTTGGAGATTCTTGTCCACGCATTTGTCTCCAGCAGGCTAGACTACTGCAATGGCCTGCTTACAGGTCTGTCCAAACAGACCTGTAAGCAGCTGCAGTACATCCAAAATGCAGCAGCTAGAGTCCTGACAGGAACCAGGAAGTATGACCATATTAGTCCGGTCCTCAGGTCTCTGCACTGGCTTCCTGTGGCTCAAAGAATAGATTTTAAAACAGCTCTGCTTGTGTACAAGTCTCTCCATGGCCTTGCACCAGAATACATTAGTGACATGTTGGTGTCATATGAACCAGCCCGGACTCTGAGGAGCACAGGGACTGGCCTCCTGCTGGTGCCCAGAGTGAGAACCAAACATGGGGAGGCTGCGTTTCAGATCTATGCAGCTAAGATCTGGAACAATCTCCCTGAAAATGTGAGGGAGGCGTCTACTCTGTCAATGTTCAAATCCAGGTTAAAGACTGTTCTGTTTGCCTGTGCATACAACTGAAGGATTTTATCTCCATTTGTAATGCACTGCTGTCATTTATTTATTTATTTTTTTAAATTTCTTGTGTAACTTTGAAAGTGTTAATGGTTTTATTCTTTTGTGTGATTTTATTGTTTTTATTGTGTTTTAATCTTTTGTGTGATTTTAATGTTTTAATTGTGATTCTGGTGTTTGTTTTATGTGATGATTTGTGATGTGGACTGTGAAGCGCTTTGTGTTGCCCTGTGCATGAAAGGCGCTCTACAAATAAACTTTGATTGATTGATTGATAGTGTGGTGCAGAGTAGCGTTTGGTGTAGAGTAGAGTGTGGTGCAGACTAGTAGAGTAGAGTGTGGTGCAGAGTAAAGTTTGGTGTAGAGTAGAGTGTAGTGCAGAGTAGAGTAGAGTTTGGTGCAGAGTAAAGTTTGGTGTAGAGTAGAGTGTAGTGCAGAGTAGAGTAGAGTTTGGTGCAGAGTAGAGCAGAGTAGAGTAGAGTGTGGTGCAGAGTAGAGTATAATGTGGTGCAGAGTAGAGTAGAGTGTGGTGCAGAGTAGAGTAGAGTTTGGTGCGGAGTAGAGTAGAGTTTGGTGCAGAGTAGAGTAGAGTTTGGTGCGGAGTAGAGTAGAGTTTGGTGCAGAGTAGAGTATAGTGTGGTGCAGAGTAGCGTTTGGTGTAGAGTATAGTGTGGTGCAGACTAGTAGAGTAGAGTGTGGTGCAGAGTAAAGTTTGGTGTAGAGTAGAGTGTAGTGCAGAGTAGAGTAGAGTTTGGTGCAGAGTAGAGCAGAGTAGAGTAGAGTGTGGTGCAGAGTAGAGTATAATGTGGTGCAGAGTAGAGTAGAGTGTGGTGCAGAGTAGAGTAGAGTGTGGTGCAGAGTAGAGTAGAGTGTGGTGCAGAGTAGAGTAGAGTGTGGTGCAGAGTAGAGTAGAGTTTGGTGCAGAGTAGAGTATGGTGCAGAGTAGAGTAGAGTGTGGTGCAGAGTAGAGTTTGGTGCAGAGTAGAGTGTGGTGCAGAGTAGAGTAGAGTATAGTGTGGTGCAGAGTAGAGTAGAGTGTGGTGCAGAGTAGAATAGAGTTTGGTGCAGAGTGGAGTAGAGTGTGGTGCAGAGTAGAGTTTGGTGCAGAGTAGAGTAGAGTGTGGTGCAGAGTAGAGTAGAGTTTGGTGCAGAGTAGAGTATAGCGTGGTGCCCTCTCCTCACTCCTGTCCTGTCAGCGGCTTTATAACAGCCAGCATTTATATTCATGTATCTTGTACATTATTACATCTGTAAACATCCAATACAATCTTAATATAAGACTCAGTGTGTCTGTCTGTCAGAATAGAGTCATGTAGAGTATAGTGTGGTGCAGAGTAGAGTAGAGTGTGGTGCGGAAGTACCTATTCCCCCGTGGGGACCTAAAGTGAGGTCCCCACCGAGTTGAGCCCTACTACAGATCTCAGATCAGTTAGTAGACATGCCTGGTGCATTATCTCAGAAGTCCCCTTGGGTCACATTCACCTGACAAAAATCTGTGTGTGTGTGTGGCCATGCGCCCCTGGTGTACACACAGAGTACTGCAGTCCCCACCAGGTAGGTGTTCTGGTTGTGTGTATTGCTCTCCATCGCCCCCTTCCCCCATCAGGCCAAATGCAGTACTACAATCTAGAAGTAAATAAGACAATTTCTTTTGTTTATTTCTTCTTTGTTTTAAACCAAAAATATTAGTTATTGCAACAATTCAACTCCAAATGTATCTTTTAATCAATATATTAATAACAATTTACAAGAAGTTAATTATTTTCTTTGTTTCCTAGGCAGTGTTCTCTTTATTTATGCTATGTTAATTAATAGATAGAGGGATATATATATATATATATAATATACTTAATTTATTATTATTATTATTTTTATATATATTGACAAGTGACAAAAGTGAATGCGAAATTGAGAATTCCCCC